TGACGCAAGCCACAAACAAACAAAATTATGTGCTTTTTATAGTGAATAGTTCATGGGCTAGAAGAAAATACATGATTTTGTTTTTTATAGCTCTCATAACAATGTATTTCGTCATGAAACTTTACCCGGAGTAGTAAAAAAGAGATTTGGATTTCCATTTTTCTTCAAAATCCAAGCCCCATGAAGCCTGGGAGCCAAAAGCAATTTTCGTCAAGACATTTGTAGGAAGGATAAAATTATTATAGTTTTTGTTAATTTTCGTCAAGTGATGCCGGAGCCGGGCAAAACTTGTTGTAGTAGACAATCGGAAAGTCATAATGATAAGGCCCCATATGGCCAACACACCGGAACAACAACCGTCGCTGTTGAAGAGTAGCGTAGATCGGAAGGATCCAACCCAAAGACACACGAACGTAGATGAACTACGACCAGGCCCGAGCAAAATCCATCAAGGACATATCCGCCGGAGACACACCTTCACACGCCCACCGACGTTGCTAGACGCACCACCGAGACAGGGGCTAGGCGGGAAGAACCTTATTCCATTTTCAAGGAACTGCCGCAACTCTAACAAAACTCAAAGAAACATCTAAATATGGAGTCCTCCCGCCAGTAAGGGCTGGGATTCACAGCCCCATCATGGCCCTAAGGCCACCAAAGATGAGGCGGACCGACAGCGATGCCGACAAAAGGTAGAGGAACCCTAGGCTTTTTTGAGAGGAGACAGCGGCTGTGTTTGATTTTTTTCTTCTTTACGGGAGGCTGCGTTTAAACTTGGAGGACGCGGTCCTAGTTGATACCAATTTTGGCTCTTGGTTGAATTGCAGCCAATATTTCCTGCAAAAAAAAAGAATGGTAGCCAATATTTTGAGATGACTATGGAATCTAGCCATTTTTTATTTTCTGGAAGAGTGGCAAACATATAGACAATCGAAACTTTAATGAGAATATGGTTTAGTAAAATTTTAGTGGGCTTCTGTTTCTTTGTTGAAGACAATCCGAAAAGACCTACTCCCTCCACTCTAGAATAAATGACTTTCTCTGTTAAGTTGAGTTATCTATTTTGAAACGAAATGAGTAAACAGAGCATGCTGTCATGGACGGCATCAGGAGGACCATGGGCACGTGAAAAGTAGTACTGTAGTAATAAATCGCCCGTAGGAGTACCACTGGTAATGTGGGACAGTGGGCACCAGCCAATTGCGGACGGCACGGACGACAACAAATGGCACGTCCTCGTCTGCCTACGTGTTGTTTCCCTATTGGATTTTCCGTACGGTCTTCGGTCCGAGGACACCGACGGGTATCCGAGCCTCGTACACTCCCCTGGGTCCCACGCGCATCCGATTGGCCATTTGCCGCAGCTCCCTCGTGGAGCGGGCCCCAGGGGGACGACTTCCTGCCATTACCGGGCGCGTCGCCTTCGAGCTGGCTGCTGCCACTCCCGTCCTCCTGCGCTGTGGTATGGGACACTGGATTTTCTTTCTTAACACAGTACGG